CCCCCCCCCCCAGCCAGTCAGTCAGCTTCATCGGGGCCCAACTGAAATGCCTCTACGCATACAACCATAGCATGGGGAATAAAGAGGAGGAGTTGGAGATCTGCACACACCTGCAGGGCTATGATCTTACTGGCATCATGGAGATGTGGTGGGACGGCTCCTGTGACTGGAGTGTTGGAATGGAAGGACACAGGCTCTTTAGGAAGGACAGGCAGGGTAGAGAAGGAGGAGGTGTCACCCTCTATGTCAATGACCAGCTGGAGTGCATGGAGCTCCACCTGGGGAGGGATGAGGACCCAGTTGAGAGCTTATGGTTAAGGATTAAAGGGAGGGCACTATAGTGGGGGTCTGCTACAGGCCACCAGACCAGGAAGACCAAGTGGATGAGGCCTTCTACAAACAGATAGGAGCAGCCTCACATTCACAAGCCCTGGTCCTCATGGAGGACATCAATTGCCCTGATATCTCTTTGAGGGACAACCCAGCAGGGCACAAGGAATCCTGGAGGTTCCTGGAATGCATTGATGATAACTTCCTTCTCCAAGTGATAGAGGAGCCAATGAAGAGAGGTACCATGCTGGACCTTGTTCTGACCAACAAGGAGAGGCTGGTGGGGAATGCAAAGCTCAAGGCCAGCCTTGGCTGCAGTGACCATGGAATGGTGGAGTTTGAGATCCTGAGGGCAGCGAGGAGGGTGCACAGCAAGCTGACTACCCTGGACTTCAGGAGAGACTTTGGCCTCTTCAGGGACCTGCTTGGTAGAGTACCATGGGACGAAGCCCTGGAAGAAAGAGGGGCCCAGATAGCTGGTTAGTATTCAAGGATCACGTCTTCCAAGCTCAGGAGTGATGCATCCCAACAAAGAGGAAGTCAGGCAAAAGTGCTCAGAGGCCTGCATGGATGAACAAGGAACTCCTGGACAAATTCAAATACAAAAAGGAAGCCTACAGAGGGTGGAAGCAAGGGCAGGTAGCCTGGGAGAAATACAGAGAATTTGTCTGACCAGCAAGGGGTGAGGTTAGGAAAGCCCGAGAGAACTGGCAGATGAAGTTGCCAAGCCACTCTCCATCATATTTGAAAAGTCCTGGCAGTCCAGCGAAGTTCCCACTGACTGGAAAAGGGGAAACATAACACCCATTTCTAAGAAGGGTAAAAAGGAAGACGCAGGGAACTACAGGCCAGTCAGTCTCACCTCCGTGCTTGGCAAGATTATGGAGCAACCCTCCTGGAGACTATGCTCTGGCACATGGAAAATAAGGAGGTGATTGGTGACAGCCAACGGGGCTTCAGTAC